CTAGTAGGTTGAGGGCCATCGCTAGTAGGTTAGGAGCCATCGCTATTAGGTTGGAGGCCATCGCTCTTGGGGTGGAGGCCATCACTACTGGGGTGGAGGCCATCGCTAGTAGGTTGGAGGCCATCGCTCTTAGGTTTGGCCAACGCTTCTAGTGGGTTGGAAGCCATTGGTTCTAGGTTGGCCATCGCTTGTAGGTGTGCCATGCGCTGGCCGAAACTTGCCCAACTTGTGCAGATCTGAGTTTGAGTCATGGAGCTGCCAAGCCAAGTGTCGATTTTGGCAGTTGTTTGTCTCCTTCGATAGGACATACAGGGTCTTGTTCAGCAGGGAGACCAACAAATGCAGTGCAGATGCATGAAAACAGAAAACTGACGGAATTCGAAATATTCTTCACAAACCTTTGCCGAGGCGTCACGCTGAGTTGGATGCCTGCGCGAAGCATGGCCCTCCCATGGCCTTTGTGAAGTTGGTGAACACATGTACCATGTGTCCTATGAATCAAATACTATTGGTGTTCACCAAACCAAAACTCAGCAACCTCATTAAGTACGAAGACTTGTTCGATGCGGTTTGTTGCTTCGCTGCTTCTCTGACCCAGCAATCTCTCAGAGCCCAAAAGTCTGGCGTTTGCGACTGTTGATTCTACATGACTTCATGAAAGCTCCTAGTAGCGTCCTTGCTCCTAGTAGTAAGGCCAGGAGCCCCGTTCGTAGCGTCCTTGCCCCTAGTAGCGATGCCCTTTGCTCCTAGTAGCGATTCTACATGACTTCATGTGGCACCAGCTTGAAGGTTTCAAATCAGTTGGATCTTCCTTCGCTGGACCTGAAGTTTGCTTGCAGGATCAAGTGCCACCCGCCTTCAAAGGACCAAAGATTGAACATTTGCTATTAACTTGAAACCATCACATCAAAAACTACTAGGGTGGAGGCCATCGCGGAGGCGATCGCTCTTAGGGTGGAGGCCATCGCTATTAGGTGCAAAGAACATTTGGTGATTCAATTTGAGATTCTGTCTGGCTCAGGACTTGATCAGGCTGTCTGGCAAAGGCAGCTAGAGCATGGTCCTGCTGGGAGATTGGATGCACGTTTAAAAAAGGGAATGGCTCACATCCTGCTGTTAACTCGGACTCTTCGTTGTTTGTGTTATGGCATGGACCTTTTTCGAGGGGATGCAGGCATCGTGAAGCTTTCTGCTGTGGCTAGAGTTGACTCTAGCCTGTGCATTTTTTTGCGGTATCCAGACTTGCAGTGTCCAGGCAGACTTTTAATCTGACTTGGGTTTGTTGTACGTAGACCTAACTTGAATTTGATTTGCTCTGAAGTTGTTGCTTGAGCACTAGCCATGTTGTGCACTTTGATGCAAGTAGCAAGAAAAGTCCTCTCCTTCTATTGAACAGTCAAGCGCTAGGCTTTGTGCTTTGTGCTTCTGGCTGAGATTGTGGCTCAAAATGGGTTTGTCGCTTCATGGCGGGTCAAATCTCAATTGAGTGGGCTTGGTGTGGCCTCCTCGTCCTCATGTTGACCACCAAAGACTCCAAGACTTGGGGCGTTAAAGATACATTTTCGACATCCGCAGTGCCATCTGGTCTGGCAAGGAAAGGAATCAGGGACACTTTATCAGAGGCAATATTTGGTCACGACAATCAAGTTCGCGTGGTTTCTTACAATGTTTGCGGCTTTGGTGCAGGCTTCAAGGACATTGATCCAGAACAAGTCACCAGGGTGTATGGACAGTTGCGGACGGATTTGAGCGAACTTAAGGCTGATATCGTGTGCTTGAATGAAGTCAAAAGGATGAAGCTTGAGGATCCCGAAGGCAATCAACGGGAGGATACGTTGGAAGCTCTAGCGGAGGATTTGGAAGAGATGGAGTACTTTTTTGCTCACGCAAACCCTGGCTACGAATCCTTTGGCAATGCCATTTTGGTGAGCAAAAAGCTTCAGGTCATTCACTGTGATTCCACGCACTTGGAAGGAGGATCTTATGTTTCTACTCCCGTGGGGAAGAAGCACATTGGTAGAGGCTGTCTTGCTGTGCCCTCGCCAAATTTTCAGATTTTGCCATGTCTTTTGCCTTTGTCACTGGGCACCATGGCCCTTTTTGTGTTGAAGCATAAGCAGGTGGAGACATCAAACCCTGGCACAACACTTCTACTGAGCCCCCCAAATGTCAGTCTCTGTTTGTACGTTTTTGAGGTTGGGATACATAGACCAACGACGCACGACCTCGAACCCAAGCCGATTGTCGCCTAACTGCCTAACATTACCATTGAATATTGCTCTTTTGCTACTCACAGTATGGCAAGAGCTACTTTTTGTTTTTCCTTTCTACGGCTCTACGGTTCATTAGAGTCAATCCCGTATTAACACCTCCTTCATGATTGCTGTGTTTGATTTCAATTGGCTTGTTTCGTTTCGCTTCGATGCATTCCTTTTGAATTTCCCTGCACCCCTTGTCGATCACCAGACACGAACGACCAAACATCAGAACATCGCCAAGCCGTGTGCAACATAAGGAGTTCTTATGCTAGAAGTAGAGAGCATGGGAACCTAATAGCGATGGCCTCCCTAAGAGCAATGGCCTCGGGCCTAGTGAATTTAATTAGTAACAAGAAGCTACTAGGAACAAGTGCATCGCTACTAGTAACAAGTGCCTTACTAGTAGTAACAAGAAGCCAATAGAAACAAGAAAGCTATTCTTCTTCTTTAGATCTAGGTTGTCTTCGGGAACAGGTGGATTCCGTGCCACGCGAACCGAGAACCTCGGAACTCGCAAGTGCCGAACCGTCGATCGCGGGAGTTCTTGGGGCCTCCACCCTCCATCACCATCGAATCGCACGGCTCACATCGCGTGACCGTTGTGAAGGAGCGATGCCAGGAGCCCCTAGTAGCTTTCTTGTTCCTAATAGCTTCTTGCTACTACTAGTAAGGCACTTGTTACTAGAAGCG